GCACTAAACATAAGGTAAGGTTGATTCACTTAACTTCTCTAGATCTTAGGGTTTTTTTTTTTTAAACTTGGTTCTACTTATTGGACAGCTAAACATTAATAGAGTGATCAGAATCATATCAACATCTGCAACCTCTCTTGGTAAAGTTGGTAGTGCAGTGAGCTAACCATAATGATTTTCATAATATGAAACACTTTTGCTTCTTTTGCTTTGAAATATGTAATAGTCTGAGATGATGTGGACATCTTAATGGACTAGTTAAACATTAATACAGGTGCATACATATACTATCAGCTAGAAAGAAAAATTAATTGGTTATTAAAACATCAAGAGATAACAAACTATCAGTATTAAATATATTCCAAAGTAAATGATTTGGCCATGTTTTTAAGTAATAGTAACTACATACAGGTACACATTTCCCAGTGCATTTGTAGCATAAAGCAAAGGTCCCTTGAATTACAGGAACTCATGTACTTAAGCATGTTATTTTGCATCTCCTTCGGCATACTGCAATTCATAGAGATGGTCAAACTATTTCAGAAACATTTTAAGTATCCCAGGATGGACTGTTCTGAACTGTCATCTTCACAAACACTACAATTTTCAAGATTTTTTTTCTTAATTACAGCAGTAAAACTAAAGGGAACAAGCTCAGCATTAGATCTGACAGATATAGCCTGGAATTTTCTCAGTCATTCACTATGTATGACCCTAAATAAGTTAACTTATCTACCTTCAAATAGGAATGATGATAAAAATAAAGCTGAGTTGTGAGCATTGAGAGACAAGGCAGAGACAGTGCTCATTCAGCAACTATTAGTGATGTATAGTATTTATACAATTTGGTATTTATTTGTAGAAGAATATCATTATTCTGAGAATATTAATTTCTCTTTCCAACTATACTTCAAGTTCAGTAAGCACAAACTCTTCACATGCTTCTTTTGAATATTTCACAGTCTAGTAGACCAGGTAATGTACAGTAGTGTAAAATTAATTCTCACTCTCCTAGAATCACATGTGTATTAAGAACATCTAATGTGTCTGTTATGGCTTGTATCTAAATGCCCCCCCTAAGGCCTCATGCACTTATAGGTTTGGCTTTTCAGAGCTGGCTAGACATAGGGGTGTGTGATACTGGGATTAAGAGTATGGTACTAAATTAATCCACTGATTGAAATGAGCATAGTTCCAGGTATGAATAATGGGAGAGCCTACCCTGGGTGTGCATGGCATCACTCAGTAGGCTTATAGCCTGCATGGGATCAAAGGAAAAGGGAGGTTTGCTGCTTTGTTGCTGCCGCTTTCTGCCTACTCTGCCATGAACTATTTCTCCTTTGCTATACCCCTCTGCCATGCCACCCTGCCTTGGAGTCAGTTGACTGTGGACTGAAACTTCTATAAACTGTGAGGTAAAATGAACTTTTCCTTGTTTAATTTGTGAATGCCCAGTATTTTAACACACCAATGAGAAAAATAACATAGTACCCAAAGAGGAAGAACATATTTTAATTGCAAAGATATGCTGGAGATACAGCTCAGTGGTGTAAGTGCTTGCCTGGCAAGCCTGAGGTCATGAATTCGATTCCCAGCACACATACAAAAAAAATTGCAAAGATATTAGTGGCTATTGAACTGTGTGACTGAAGGTAGAGAAAAGTGAGAGGCTCCAAAATTGCTGACCCACTGAGGGAGATGTACATATCCCTAGAACAAGGGAATGAAGCCCTGAAATGAGATTCCCAGTTGGGATGACTTTAATGACCTTTGGTGGGTTTTTAAAGAGTGGTGGTGGATATGGATCATTAGAGACAATTATGAACACAATTTTATATCACAGGCTTTGCATGAAGTTACAAAAAATGAGAAGCATGAGGAGGTAATAGAGTAGAAACAGTTCAAGGATCTGTGTTGGGTTTCAGTTAGATTGCAGAAGAGTAACATTCATCCAGAAGTAAGACACAAACAGATATAGCTGAATATCAACGCCTGAGAAAAATAAGTGGCCTGGCATCAACACTGAGTGTTGTTATGGTTTAGATCTAAAAGCTCACCCAAAGTCTCATATTTTCAGAAGTGGGAATTTCATAAGGCTATTGGATCATGGGGGCACTATAGTCATCAGTGGATTAATCTACTGATGAGTTTGTAGTCGAATGTGCTATTAGAAGGTGAGGCCCACTTAGAAGAGCTGGGCCACTGGGGATATGCCATTGGAGGGTATCTTTCCTCTGGTTCTTCTCTGCCTCTCTGTTTCCTAGCTGCTGTGCATTGAGCAGCCTTTTCACACTACCACTTCTACCTTGGAGCTGGGTGACCATGGACTGAACTCTTTAAAACTGTAAGCCAAAATAAACTTTTTCTCCTTTAAATTTTGCCTGTCAGATATTTAGTGCCAGGAAGGGAAATCTGACAAATATATGTGCCTAAAATATTTTCTTAAATATGAAAAATAATTCATATTATTTGAAATGTATCTGATTTATATTAAAGATGCATGATTTTGTAACTCAACAAAGAATTTCTGTCAAAAATCTAGATTGAAAAATTGCTAATGTAAGGCTGCTTGGATACACTATGTTGGTATTTTATCTAAGTGATACCAAAACATCTTTAAATATCTCTAAGAAACAAAAAGTGAGAAGAAACTAGCAGCTATTACCTAAAGGAATGACTGCTCTTTAATATTAATAAAAAGAATACTGTCGTGGAGTTAAAAGATGTGTGGATAGCAAATTAATTTAATTTTGAATCCACAAAAGCCCCTGAGAGTTACTGGATATTTTTAAGCTTGAATATGAAATTTATCACATGACAGTTGGCTTGCTGAAGTTCAGAAGGAAGAGTACTGACCAGGCCCCAAATGCAAAGCAATAGACATGGCTCTTTCTTCTTCCACACACAGGGATGGGCTACTGCTGTTAACACTGACTAGAGTCAAGTTTTTAAGCAGGAATCCTCCCAACAACAGTTTTAAGCAGTGGTGGAGCGCTGAAGATACTCTGCATAAAGCATCCTTGTCCAAGCTCTTATGCGAGTTCTACAATTCGCATAAGTAAAACAGTAACTACCTATTTTGAGCTGCTTAAGAAGACAACTGTACATACCTGCATCTTTAAGTTTTACACCTAAGACCTTTATAGTCTTAAAGAGCATTGAGTGTGTCCTGTATATATTAGTAAAAGGTTTTTTAATTTAAAAAGTTTAAATGAAACACTGGTATTTGTCTTTCAGTTTTCCGTATTTAAAAAAAGAGGCTTATTTTCACTCCTACAGATGAATCCTGGAAATAGCATCAAATGGTAGCAGCTGTTGTAAGTGTCTCAGAGTCTCAGAAGAAGGCAGAAAACACATCTTAGGAAATACCTGTTCATACCTCAAAACAGTTTGAGTGAGAGAGGAAAAAGTGAACAGGAAAAGGGGTTGAAAGTGGCTGCAGAAACATTTATGTACATACTATGACATGTCCATAAAATGTTTATCCCTTTTGGTATATCCAATTTTTTTGGTTACTTCACTTCTTGTATTACTTCTGACCTACTACCCACATACATGGAGTTATCAAAATAGTAAAAGACACCTTTTCATTAATCTTCCTCAACACACAGTAACGCCCGGGTTCACAAATGTTTCTTTTTGCAGTTCAGTTCACAGACCAAAGCGTTCAGCAAAACTTTACTTCCTTTAACAAACTCTGCACTGGGTGACAAACATGACCATGGCCATCTTCCCCACATAAACACAAATGCAATCATCTTCCCCAAAATTGTAAAATAGATTAAGTTCATAAACTGAAGTACCACGGGACCTCCCCCAACACACACACTTTTGCTATACTTAATGCCTCTTTGTGAAGCAGTTCTGGAGGTCTTCTGGATGTCTTTACAAGTCATCCCCCAAAATACAGGGAATAGTACTATGAGTGTCACTCAAAGGAAAGACAAGCTTGTAGAAACATGATGGGTCCTCATCCACATTTTTCACTAGATCAAACACTATACAACTTCTAACTTTTCCCCAAAGCCAGCATGACCATACAGGATAAAATTTTTAAGTCATGCAGGACATCAAGGTAACCACAACAGCATGACTAAAGATGCTCACAAAGGAGGATTTCCCAAACTGGTTTGGAAAGTGGCAAGAATGATGGGATAAATGTGTTTGGAGGGGAGTGTATAGCTGTATTTTGAGGAGGATTAATGGCAATGTGTCTTTTACTGTAATGATTTCTTAAAAATATAAACCTTCCTCATGTTTGTTGATCCTGCCTCATACATTTTTCTTCAGTTTCTTACTTGCTCATCTCTTAAATTTATCCTAACAATTTAATTAGGAAATTTCTATCTTCATCAGGTAGTAGGAAGAGGCAGACAGCCAGTCAAATGGTCTCAAAACTTGCAGGGGAATTCTACTTTAGAAGAACCTGTTTCACATAAAAATTTTGTTTCATTTTCATGTGTAAATGTAGATTTTTATCACTGAAAACAGTTTGTGAAGTATAAAAATACTGCTCAAAATTAAATCTGGGCCTTTAAGAAATAACTAATTCCAGCTTCCCCAGTACTTACTTGGTTATATACTTTCCCTTTTAAAGTGCCCATAGGCTGCTTCCTGTGACCTAAAGGGTAAGATCTATGTTACTTGTTTTATAGATTACAAGACATGGCACAGAAAGACGTGGCTTGCTCAAGGTCACACATCATAAAAGGCAAAGCCAGACTTATTTCTCCAATCTCCAACACAGTAGAAATTTGGTTTATTTTTTTCTTTGGAAGACTGTTGAGGAAAATTACTTGGCAAAACAGCATACTTCAGTCTCCTTGTCTTCAAAAGGCATCACCCAGCAGTCTTTGAAATAGAATGTGTGCCTCAAAGAAAGCTGAAAATCAAAGCTTTTAGAACCCATGGGGATAGAGCAAGGCAGAAAGTTTCTCCCTTACACACTTCTATGTCCAATACCTCAGACTGAAGAACAGTGTCAGTTCAAAGTCACTTACCCAAATCTGAAGCTTGATCCTCTTTTCATTTTTGAATACAGTTTTTACTTTGAAATCAATCCCAACTGTGCTGACGAATGCAGATGTAAAGGAGTCATCTGCATAACGGAACAGAAAAGATGTTTTCCCCACGCTGCTATTGCCGATGATCAGCAATTTGAACATGTAGTCAAAGTTCTGGTCAGAGGAATCTTTCTGGCCATACCTGGAATCTTGGGCAGAGGCCATCTGTGAAAAATTTAAAAAAAAAAAAAAGCAACTAGGATCAGTCTCCTAATATGAAGCTAGCAGCACATTCATTATTGACTTTGCTAGAAACAGATGTCAGACAATCAGGAGGCCAGTGGAGAGTGTTCCCCAGTCTTCCTCTGATGCTGGTATCCATGGCAATAATTCCCTGCTGGAAGACAGAACAGCAAATTTTACAGCTCTTTCCAGCTGTGTTGGTACTTGTCTCAGCTCAGCATTCAGAACCAATCAAAGACACCAAAGGAGGTATCTCTAAGGGTAACATGAAAAGCAGAGATATGAAGAATTGGACAGGCCATGAGGGTTCTGAAACTTTGTAATCTCAGTGACGGAGACACCAAAGTGACTGAACAGCAGGGTGTTTCTTCTTAAATTATCTGAATTATTAGAGTCTATCTTATTTCCTATGGGAATATACACAAAGCATTTCTCTATTTCATCTCTTGACATTTTAGCAAATCAAAATCCTAACAAAAATGTGGTGTCTTTCAAAGGAAAAATGATGATGGTTCAATCAATGGTTCACGTTGTTTCATTCAATGTGCCAGGGACTGTTAACTTATTGAACATAACAACCTAGTGAGCTGGCCATCTTTATTATTTCCATATTTAAATGAGAAAATTGAGGCTCTGAGATACTCAGTGACTTCCTCAAGCAGGAGATGTAAGATTCAAATCAGGCAATTGGTGAAAAGCTCATGTCCCTGACCTCTGCTCTGTTTCCCAGTGATATCTAGGGAAATAAGCACAAGTGCTCTAAGAGGACTATGTGGGAAGTGATGGTTGTAGGAAAAATCAGTGATGATCCCTGCCTAAGTTCAAATAATGACTCCACTACTTACTGGCTGTGTGACCTAGGCTTTCTTTTAAATTATTATAGCCAGTACTTTCTCTTGAAAGAAAAGGAAAAAAAAAAATTAACTTAGAATTTTTATGAAATTAAACAATAATATATCTGAAAAGCAGGTCTGTAAATCACTGTGGAATAGAAAATGGATTAATTATAAACACTTTTGGTGGATGTTGATGTTTTTCTCATCTTTTTAATGATAATTTTAATATACATCAAGAATGATGTTTTATTACTTTAAGCACCACCTGAATCAATGTAGAAAATAGGTATTTAAAAAGGTATATCCCATTGAGTAATTAGTGAATCAACTCAGTACATTTTCTGATGCTGTATATTTTTTGGCAACTATTGTGCTATCCAATATGGTAGCCACTAGTCACACACAGATTTAAACTATGTTAAAGTTAAATAAAATATAAAAACTAAGTTTTTCAATCACACTAGCCACATTTCAAAAACACAATAATCACACGTGGCTAGTAGCTACTCTATTGGATGTTTAAAATACAAAATACTGACATAATTACAAAAAGCTCTCTTGAATAATTCTAGGCTACATATTCCACTTTTATTAATAATTATATCCTTTCTCTTGGGCATGCTATGCATAGGATACAGTTTCATGTGATGGAAGCTTCGTTCCCAATGTGATAGATTTGAGGAGGTAGAAACTTCAAGAGTGAGGCCTGATAGAAGGTTGTTACGCCCAGGTACAAATTTTAGAGGGGATTACTGTTCTCAAGGGACCTTGGTTAGTTACCACAATAGTAGTATAGAAAGTTATAGCAGTTATAGAAAGTATGAACCTGGCCCTTAAATCTCTGGCTTTTTGTCTCGCCGTGTGATGTCTCATTCATGCACATGCCCCCACGATGTCATTCACCATATTGTGAGATGGACAAAAGAACCTCCAGGCTGAGCAGGCACTAACAGCATGCTCTTAGAACTCCAGAACTGTGGGCTGAACGGATGCCTTTTCTCTTAGAGTACCTAGTATCAGGTACTTTTTATAGCAACAAACAGTGGACCAATCAAGGTAAGAGAAGGGCAAAAGAAGTCTCTGGAGATGGTGAAAGGCTAGAAGCAGTATAAACAGTGGTTCATCTAAGACAATATCACTTGCCTGAAGTTAAAAAGTCAAGAGTCTGTGTGTGTGTGTGTGTGTGTGCGTGTGTGTGTGAGAGAGAGGGTATGTGTGTGTGTATGTTAGACAGACAGAGACAGACAGAGAGAAAGAGAGAGAGAAAGAATATTTTAAGTGAGAAGAGCAAAAAGAGATGAGCTAACATATTCCCCTTCTACAATACTTATTTCCAGCAAGAGAATGCAGTCACGCATATAAGAATGACAAAAGGAATATGTGCATATATAACAAAAGTTAAGGGCACAAAGAATTGTGATTGAATCTCACATTTTCTAATTAAATGCAAGCTTAAGCTTTCCTTTTATCAGTCCACTTAATCACATGGACATATTCAGAAATTGCAACAATTTATAAGGAGTGTTTATTACTGGGCAACACTATGCCTTTAAAATAGAAAAGCATCTGACCCCTGCTCTGTTTCACAATGCCAGCTAGGGAAATAAGCACACGTGCTATAGGAAGACTGTGTGGAAAGTGATCACTGTGGGAAGAATCAGTGATGAGCCCTTCCTAGCTGCACAGAGCACACACTAAGGTAAATGTTCCCCCATACAATCAGCCAAGGACAGATAGGGTTACAAGTTCTGATTACCAATTTGAAAAGTAGTTTTACTCCAATGACTTCAGAAAGCCCGAGGTCAAGTAATTATTTTGTTTGACACTGCCATTCCCTTCATTAAAAAAGGCCCTTGGCATACTTTTTTCATATGAACCAGCTTAAATGCTGGGTTTTGCATCGAGAATGTTCAGCCACGCCACAGCCAGAAATGAGTTTAGATTTCCTATGATTGCTCATTTATTCAACCTACTAGACCACTACCATATGGTGCATGCCATAGTTCTGAGGTGGTACTCCAGCAGAGTACTGTGTATCTCCAAGTTGCCTTTAAAGAAAACGTAATGAAGGCTACTGCTATTAATGCAGATCCTGTTTAAAATTAGAGTGATTCCAGAACAGTAATATATATACCACCAGTATATGTAATTATGAATGTAATTGTGAGGATACAGATGGAGATAATCATACTCATGCAGCAAAACCTGCAGTTGAAGGGCAAATGCAACTCACTGCTTGGTAGCAAAGAACATGATGAGAGCACAAGAGGAAGTCTAAGGTGAGGGAGCTAGTGGATGTATGTACTCAGAAGAATTCTCAGGGCAGCATCTCAGAATGATTAATTAGAAGAATTTACTAACTCACTTATTCTTGAAGGTAGTATTTTTGTTTGTTTTTAACTACTTCCTGATTTATATCCCTAATGATATTCACAAAGGAGCCAAAAATGTGCATGGGGAATGCATGTACATTTTGTAAAACTTCATAAGAATGAAATAAATCCTGGTTCAGAAGACAGAGAGACAGCCCTAATCTTGATGAGAAGAGAAATGAATCAATTTGACAGAATATGAATATCAAAAGGGCTTACAGACAGCCGCTATGCAAATCTAGTGACATCTCTAAATAGGAAGTCATGCAAACATTCTCAGAATTTTTATGGAAAAATATAGCTGAAGTTTAAAAACATGAAATGGGTATGAAGTTCCCTCCCAGAGAACAAGTCAGATTATTTGTAAGATAAATGAAAGTAACTCCTCAAATAGCATTAATCTTACATTTCAAAAAGAAAGAATCAGAGTTGAAAAGAAGCTTCAGGGCAATACAACGTCCCATCCATTCTGAGTCCCTTTTACAGTACCTTAGGTTCTCTGGTTAATGTCCTAGCCGAGCCCTTTACACGAGGGACAAGTACCTCCCTATGCCATGAAGCACCGTTTCCCTGCTGAATAATTCCAGTTGTTGGAAAGTTCTTTCTTACGTTGAGTTAAAATACACCCCCTACACAGCCTGTGCCTGTGTTCTAGATCCTGCGTTTTGAATGAAGAGATAGTTGATCTTTCTCTTTGAATGAAGAGATAGTTGATCTATCTGCAGGAACAACTCATAGCTGCACTACCTCTTTCCTCTTGCTTGGATGATCTCAAAAGTTTTAGCCCAGAAAATCCCATATCTGCTGCTAAAACTAACACCCCTCCAGATTGTCAAATTCCTATGTGTGGATTCCACAACTGGTCACAATGCTACAGATATTTATATGGTCAGTCAGACTATTAGTACATAGTACTGTCAGACTATTACATCCTATCACACTTGACTTAACAGGAAAGTTTCCTAAAATGAACAACACTTTCTTCATGTTGTTAATATGAAACACTAACATATGTCTGCTGTATCCTTGTCCTGTACTTGTTAAATTATTTTAATGTGAACACTGACCTTTACATGTACCTTATTAAATTTATTTTTTATTTTTTAATTTAAAAGTTAATTCTGATCTGAAAATTTTGTCTTCATAAAAACATTAATTATCCCTTTCAGATTTGTGTCATACTTGAATTTTATCAATATGTACTTTTCACATTCATCTAAGACCCTGATCAAAATAGTAATCAGTTTGTACCCAAATAACAATTAGCTATTTAACCTGTTGAATATATAAATCTATGGATAAGATCTGAACAACATGCCATTATGGAATTCACAGTGTTTGCAACAAATCCTTAACTTTTGAGAGTGGACACCTTGGACAGTTACATGGTTTAACAGTATGTGAACAGATCATGGACTTACCTGAAGTGACATCTTAAATCTTAATTATATTTCCCAAAGTCCTACCGACCAAGGGCCAAATAGATTATCTCTAACACATCCAACCAGAACCTCCTTCAAAAGCTTTTACATTTGTTTTTCAAACTAAAGGAAAAAACAAATTACGTTCAGGGATTCGTTTATGGCACTTAAAGATCTGAACCACATGTAAGGATCTAATGGGAAAAACTAAAAGAACTCATGTTAAAGTTACTATGCTCGATCACTACACTATGAGATAATAACCTGAGGGACAGTAGAAAGGCAAATGAGGGTAAGTTACTAAAAAATGAAATTCTTCTTAGAAATTAAAAGCTTGAAAGGATGGGACATAT